CAGTGTCACTGGCCCTCATATGTGGGATCCGAACCGGGGCCCTCTGGCATCCCAAGCGAGTTCTTAACCATCGCGCCACTCGGCCGGCCCCTCAGAGCTCAAACTCTTGAGCGAGCTCTGAGCCACTTGGCCGGCCCTCATAATTTGTTCTTTTAATGTTTCAAAATAATTTTAGATCTACTGAAGAGTTGCAAAGATACCATAGAATTCCCATAAACCAGTTACTCAGCTTCCTACAATGTTAACATCTTACATAAGTGTGGTACGTTTGTCAAAACTAAAAAATTAACATTGGTAAATACTATCAACTAAAACACTGTATTCAGATCACACCAATTTTTCCACTAGTGCCCTTTTTCTATTCCCAGAACCAGTACAGGATAGCACGTCACATTTAGTCCACATGTCTCCTTAGTCTCTTTTAATACGGACAGTTTCTTGGTCTTTCCTTGTCTTTCAGGACCTTGACATGTCGTGGTTGTTTTGTAGAATGTCCCTCAATTTGGGTTTGTCTAATGTTTACTCATGAATAGACTGAAGTTATGGATTTTTTTTTTAAGACTATCACAGAGGTAAAGTGCTCGTGTTGTATCCTATTGGGGGGCACATGATACCTACACGACTTATTCCTAGGGATGTTAGCATCAATTACTTGGCTAAGGTGGTGTGTGACACATTTCTCCACTATAAAGTTATTTTTCTTTCCATATTCTATTTGCTAGAAGTGAGACACTAAATCCAGCTCACACTAAAGGTGGGAGGGAATTAAGTTCCACCTCCTGGAGGGAAGGGTATTAAAAGATAAGTGGCTGTATGTTAAAACCACCAAAGACATTTATAGGGAAATACTTTGAGGCTAGGAAAATATACTGTTTATCCTTAAAGCTGTGTCCACTAATTTTAGTTTCATCAATAGATATTGCCTACAGTAATTATTACTATGGTGTTCTAATCATGATTTTCTTTTCCCTCCTTCCTTCTACATTAATTAAAATTATTCTGTAAAGATTTGGCCCATCTCCCCTACTTATTTATTCATCCAATCATTTGTAACAGAATGGATTAATGATTATTTATTTTATAACAATAAAATAAATGAATAATATCGTCATTTATTAAGTTTTCCAGCTTTGCACTTTGGGTATTCTTTCAGATTGACTCCAAGTAGTTAGTATCTTCGATGAGATAAACCAGTATCATGTGTCTTCTGTGTGATGCACTGAGGACACATCATGTCAGTGGTATTCCTACCATCCATTTTTTTTTCTTTTCTTTTTTGAGTACTTCTTCACTTTCTTGCACTACAAGATGCTCCAGGCTCATCTTTTATTTTCTTTGCTCCAGTTGTAGAATCAATCATTTCTCCAAGAAGCCCTAATTCTTTTCACTGGTGAACTGTATTTAAAAACCATGTTTGGGTGTATATTTTAATATTTAGGGAAGTTAGTCCTTCCATATTATGTTTTTAAAAATTTTTAATATTCAAATCTGTTTTTCTTTCTTGACTAATTTTTTTCCAGTCATTGCTAATTATTTAAAGCCTGCTAATTTATGCCAAGAACAACAAAGGCATCTAGTGTTAGTTACTACTTTTAATAAAGTTTAAATAATCTAAATGTCCATCATTGAGAAAATGGACAAATCCAATGTGGTATTTTCATACAGAGCAATGGAATACTATTTAAAGAGAGAAATAAATGAACTATAGCTACACTTTTAATATGTATGACATACTGCAGAAAAATACATTCAGAGAGATACTATTTATATAAAGTTTTAAAATATGCAAGAAATAGTTATTTATTTTTAAAATTTTCATAGATGTAACATTGGTTAATATTATATAAGTTCCAAGTGTACGATATTATAATTCAATAATTGTATACACTACAATGTGCTCACCATCAAAAGACATTACATATAATATGTACATACATGAAAAAAAAAACAGATTTAGGATGCTGGTTTGGGGGTGGGGAAGTAGAAAAGGGAAAAATCTGTGATCAATGAGGGCTATACAGAGAACAAAAATTCTAGTAACAATGTTTTATTTTTTTAGGATGAGTGGCAAATACACTGATGCTCCAAATATTTAATAATATTTTTAAAAGACATAAACAAATGAGGAAGACTAAGTAAGAACAACCAAGCAGTTGATCCATATGAGAACTGCTGGGGGAAAAAACCTACTACCACTCAAACTAAGCTAGTTGGTAGACTGATTTTTAAGCCTAAGAAAACAAAGACAGAAACAATACTATACACCCCCAGAAAGAGTATAAACAGAATCACTAAATTCTAAAACATGAAATTGGGGACTTAAAATCATATAGACTTGTTACTTCAAAGAGGTACTATGGTTGGAAACAGATAAAGGTTAAATATAATAATTGTCAATTGATAAGTTTATTTTTTTTAAGATTTTTATTGGGGAATTGGGGGGATGGGAACAGCGTTGGGGAATTGGGGGTAAGGGGAACAGACAAGTTGCTGTCCTTTTGTTCTTTAGTCTAGTTGTGCAGGACGTTGCTTCACTAGCCCAAGTTGGCACCATCATTGCGCTCTTCCCAGGCGAGGCACATCAGTTGCCGGCTTCTGGACGGCCGCTCACAGCGGATGCTGGCTGCTCACGCTGGCTGCCGGCTACACACGGTAGCCCATGGCAACTCACTGCCACAGGGGCTGCAGCCTATGCCGTCGCCGGCAACTCACGGCAGCCCAGCTCCAGGCTGAGCTGTTGTTCAGCATCTTAGCTGTAGAGGGCAGTGTCACTGGCCCTCATATGTGGGATCCGAACCAGGGCCTCTGGCGTCCCAAGCCAGCTCTTAACCATCATGCCACTCGGCCGGCCCGATAAATTTATTAAAAGGAAGGTAAGAATATTGAAGAAAATAAAGTGCTAAAAAAACAATGAGACACATCAAGAAGACAAAGGGCCCAGCTAAAAGGGATTCCCACTTGTTCAACCTGGGACAATTTGAGCTTCAAAATTACAATGCGTTATAACCCACTGAATAAAATAAGAACCCATACTATAAAAAATAAGGGGCTGGCTGAGTGGCGCGTTGGTTACGAGTTGGCTTGGGATGCCAGCTCTGAGCAGCAGGGCCCCAGTTCGGATCCCACATGTGGGCCAGCGACGTTGCGTCCTCTACAGCTAAGATGGTGAACAACAGTTCGACCTGGAGCTGGGCTGCTATGAGTTGCTGGCGAAGGTGTAGGCTGCAGTGGGGCTGGCCAGCAGCAGGCGTGAGCTTTTGTGAAACACCATGAGCGGCCGTCCAAGGGCCGGCGAGCAACTGCCTCACCCGGGAAGAGCGCAATGATAATACCAACATGGGCCAGTGAAGCAACGTCCTCCACAGCTAGACAGAAGAACAAAAGGACAGCAACTTGTCTGTTCCCCTCCCCCAATTCCCCAATAAAATCTTTAAAAAAATAAATAAAATAAGAACTGGTTTAGGCCAATACCATCTTAACCAAGTGATCAAAGCTAATGCAGCAGGTGCTTGAATAATGTTGTTTTGTTTAACGTTGTTTCGCTGTAACGTTGATATACTATAGAACTTAACTCTTGTTTATATCCGTTGGTCTACAGTACATTAAAGCAATTGCCACAACAGGTGAAAACTTGGACTACCATTGGATTTTTATTAATTTTCGTCATTTTGAATTGTGTGCACTACCACTGCTACATCAGTTTGATATCAGTGTTGAAAAATTATCAGTTATATTTGCTGTTTATAATCTATTTGTAGATTAGGATTTAAATGGATTTAATCCATTTTTAAAGCTGTGTGAATTTTTCTGAATAGGAACAACTATTTGCAATATGAGTTTACACTGTGATTAAACCAATTAGAACTTTTATTACTAGTAGTTGAGAGTACATGCATATAGTAATATAAAAATATATTAATGAATATTTGATAAATTCCAACAGGCTTTTGCCATGAACATAATTTTGTGTTGTACAATTAAGTTACAATTATATCTATAACTTTGGATAACATCAACTGGTTAACAATAAAGTGACAAAAGCTCAAAAAAAAAGTAAGCCTATAGTAAAGTTGGTTTCATTATACATCATTTTGCTTAAAGTCACAGAACCTATTAACAATGATAAGTGAGGACTTACTGTATCACCAATGAGACAAACCAACATCATGTGTCTTCTCTGTGATGCACTGAGGACATCGCTTTACTGATATTCCTGCCAAAAATGTATATTCTGAATCTTAATTATGAGGAAAAAGATAAACTCAAATTGAGGGATTCCATAAAACGATTTGCCTACACTATTCCAAACTGTCCACGTCATAAAAACAAAGTCTAAGAAATGTTTCAAATTATAGGAGAATAAAGAGATATGACAAATAAATGCAATGTGTGATTCTAGACTGGGAAAAAAATTGATTTGAAGAACATTATTGGGAAAACTGGAGAAGTCTGAATATGGTTTTTGGATTAGGTAACAGTATAATATCAAGGTTAAATTTCCTTATTTTATTATTTATTTATTTATTTAAGATTTTATTGGGGAAGGGGAACAGCCAAGTTGTTGTCCTTCAATCTTAGTTGTGGAGGGCGCAGCTAGCTCAGCTCCAAGTCCAGTCGCCATCCGACCGCCCAGCAGCAGCTCATGGCCGCTCAGCTCAAGATGCCGTGTTCAATCTTAATTGCGGGTGGGTGCAGCCCACCATCCCATGCAGGAGTCCAACCGGCAACCTTGTTGTTAGGAGCACGTGCTCTCACCAGCTGAGCCATCCTGCCACCTGTTGGCAGCTTAGCAGCAGCTCAGCTCAGGCGCAGCTCACTGGCCCATGTAGGAATCAAACCGGCAACCCTGTTGCTCAGAGCTCATGCTCTTAGCCAGCTGAGTCACTCAGCCGGCCTAATTTCCTGATTTTAATAACTATACTTTAGCTATATAAAAAAAAGTCATTGTACTTAGAAAACACTGAAATATTTAGAGGTGAAGGGGCATGATGACTGCAACTTATTCTCAAATGGTTCAGAAAAAAGTCTTTTAAAATAAATATAGGCAAATTGGTACAAACACAATAATTAGGCAGATGTGACAAAATGTTAAGAACTGCAAGTCTAGATAAAGGATAAAAGGAGTTCTTTCTAAAATTTCCACAGTATTCTAGGCATAAAACAAATAAGTCATGGGGATATGTAATGTACAACATAGGGAATATAGTCAATAATATTGTGATAGTGTGGTACAGTGTCAGGTGGTTGCCAGACTTATGATGATCACTTCTTTAGTTATATAAATGCTGAATAATTGTGGTATATACCTGAAACTAATATAATATTGTATGTTAGCTATATTTTAATAAAAACCTTTTAAACAATTTTAAAGGCTTAAAAAATACTGTAGAGACATTGTTATCTTTGAAAATTAACAGAGGGCAATACCCATGCTTTCAAACTATTCTTCAGTTCCAACATCAGATGGTTATTAGGCATGATATTTCTAACATTAGATGTTTATTAATATTTATAATAAATTCTTGTTGACCATTAAAAATACTCCTTTGCTCAAAAGACTCAAAAATTGAAAAGACTCATCTCATGTGAATAATACATATGCACTTCCTTTTACCTGAGACATCCATCTGTCATCTCCTTGAATATCTTCCGCTGCATGTGGAATGGCTGCTGGGTTTGAGTCTCCTTGGCTCATTCTACACCTGAGGAAAAAAAAGTCTATGTCATGTTTCATTCATTAACAGGAATGTTTATTTGTTACCGCTTAAATACTATATGCCAGGTTTTAAATAATAATTTAAGTTTCATTGTGGTCTTGCCCAGACACAAAACAGACTTGATTTTCAGCAGAGATGAGTTCCAGGATACAAATGCTTAAAAGTCTCATAAATATCTAGCATCACTAAACTTCGAGACAGGTTTGAATATCATTTAGGAACAGTGCATTACATTTAAAAAATCTACTTCAAGTATATACTTTACATCTATATTAAATTTTTACAATTACATATTACTGTAACTACCAAATGACATAAGGAATTAGACACATAATTCAATGAAATCTACATTACAGTCTTTTAGGCTGATAGGGTTACACACTTAAGAATTACTACAGCAATGATTAGAATCCACTGGTTACTAGTGGATTAATACTTGTACTACATACTAAAATTAGTCATAGCTTTGGCCCTGGTTTTGACAAATGTTTACTAAGTATTTTCATTTTTGACAGGTCTCCACTAAGAAAATTTTATTAGTAAGCCCAAATATGGCATCTGATAGGAAAAGAAAGAATAAGTCAAATTCAGAAAAATTAGAAATGCTAATCTTCTAGAAAGACAAATAAGAAACCAGGCTGCTTTTAACCAACTCTAGAGAATACATACTAGAGGCATTAGGCTCAAGGGGTCACTTGGCAAATGCAAAGGATGATGAGAAAGAAAAATCTGGGGCTTTGTGTCTTATAGAAAAGGAGGCCATATTCTTTGTAAACAAAATAGCTCCGTTCTAAATGACACTAGATCTAAAAAAAAAAAAAAAAGAAGGTTTAGGCCCATATCTGACTGAAGATGTAAAATACCATCCACACCCTGTGTATATATTTCTTTAGATTACTAAAATGTATAACTATCAGAAAATTTTAGCTATCTCTGAAGGACTATATGTTCTGTTTTATACATACTACCTCCAATCCTTACAAAAGTGCTGCAAAATGAGGAAAACGAGGATCAGACAATTTAGGTAATTTGCACAGTGAGTGTCTGACCCCAATAACTTCACATCTAGCCCACTGATTACAAACCAGTTCATGGTGACTCCCTAAAGGGGGCCTTATATCTAACCATATCATCTGAAAGACATATAGGGAGCTAAAAACATCAATGTAAAATATATGAATCAGGAAGAAGAGCAAAATGAATTTGTATAGTTCCAATCAGACTATGTATGGTATCTGCTTGGTGTTTCACTGTCTAAGAAAGGTATAAAAATATTAAAAGATGCATAAAGGAAAAAGAAAAATGATTAAAGGGATTAAAACAAATAGCCACATAGAATTGGTTAATTTGGGGGTTTCTGTTTTTAAACTCATAAAACATTCTATATCTTCTGTACAAAAGTGTCTTTGGGTCTAAGTTCAATTTTAGATTTAAGTCTGGCTGTTCAGATTAAATATGACATGATGCTTAATAATAGTTTTAATTTAAAAAGTACCTTTATTCCCTGCTGATCAATAGCTCTATTGGCCTTAAGACAGGCAAGGGGCAACCAACTTCTCCGATCTTATGGATTTCAAAATTAGATAAATAATGCAAAGAAATATTAACAACAAACAGTTCCATTTTCCACTAATTAAAAAAGCTTATTTCCTAACTTTTAAAATAGATTTAAGAAACCAAACCATTTCATTAGTTTGTTCTCATTTATTTTCCCATCTGGGGAAACATTTAACATGTTAGGTATTTTGAGGCAAAAGTTAACTAACACAAAGTTAATCGAGAGTATACTTGAGAGATCACAACTGAAAAGGAGAAAAATAACCTGTCTTACTCTCACTATATGGTTATATAATTGAAACTATTTTTACTGGGGATTGTTTAAAGAATAAGAGTGACACACTGTGAATATGAGGTACCTTCATAATAATATGTATTCAAATACATCCCTCACCACTTAACAGACAAAATGCAAGCCCTTAAGGTCATTTCAGTTCTTGGGATACCACGTCCTAATCTTGTTGAAAAACTTAAAAAGAATTTTGATACCTGGAGGGTGTCTAAATGAAAGGAGCTAAGACGGTGAGAAATTGAAAACCTGTCATATTAGACATAGTTGGGACAAAATGAATATTTATAATCGGTATAAAAACTGGCTGGGGAAGTAGAAGACTCAGGACATAAATAGTTGTCAAAGTACTCAAACATTATTAAGAAGGGATATTAGGGTTATTCTGCATGTCTCCAAAGAGGAAGACAGGGCCAATGGATAGAATACACAGCGATACAAATTTCTAAGTATGACTGAAAAATGTCACGGCCTCTCAAGGTAGATTTCTCCAACAGAGGTTCAAAAACAGGCTAGGGAACACTTAATGGGAAAGCATAAAGTGAATTAAAGCATGTGAGTAAAGACTGGTTCAGTTTACTTATTTGTTTGTTTGTTTTTAACTGAGCCATCCTGCCACCTGTTGGCAGTCAGCGGCAGCTCAGCTCGGGCTGGGAATTGAACCGCTGTTGCTCAGAGCTCACACTCTTGAACGAGCTCTTAACCAACTGAGCCACTTGGCTGGCCCAAGATTGGTTCAGTTTAGTGGGGTACAAACATTTTTTAATGTTTTAGAATCTTGAAATGCACCCCAATATATGTATTTATTTATAAATTAAATATGTGAATTACTGTTAATCCGTATATTATATTAATTATATTGTTAATCTATATATTGTAACATATACATATATTAGTAAGGTTTATTTATTTATTTTTAAGGTTTTATTGGGGAATTGGAGGAGGGGAACAGCGTTGGGCAGTCAGGGAAGGGGAACAGACAAGTTGCTGTCCTTTTGTTCTTCAGTCTAGTTGTGGAGGACATCACTTCACTGGCCCATATTGGTATTATCACTGCGCTCTTCCCGGGTGAGGCAGATCGGTCGCTGGCCTCTGGACGGCCGCTCACGGCAGCTCTTGTTAGCTCACACTGGCTGCCAGAAACTCACGGTAGCTTACGAGGAGCGCACTGCAGCAGGGGCTGCAGCCTATGCCGTCACCTCACAGCAGCCCAGCTCCAGGTCAAGCTGTTGTTCCCATCTTAGCTGTAGAGGGCGCAGCATCACTGGTCCTCATGTGGGATCCGAATCGGGGCCCTGCTGCTCAGGTCAGAGCTGGCGTCCCAAGCCAGCTCTTAACCAACACGCCACTTGGCCGGCCCAGTAAGGTTTATTTTTTCCTTTTTTACATAAAAAAATAAATGCAAAAAGAAGTTCTAAATTTTCCCCTAAATTACAATGGGTCATCTTCATCCCCACGGGTGCATGTACTCTACTTTTCAAGACCAATGGTCTATAGAAACTACAAGAGCTCTTTAAAACTATGATTCAATTTACAGACAGGGATTTTCAGAGTTCTCCCAACAAGTAAACAACTGATCCAAAATAATAACTGCAATTAAGATTTATTAAGAACTTACTATTTACAAGATGGTGTGCTAGGAGCTTTGTTATTGAAATACAGCCACGCCTCAGTTTTAGGGAACCTGCTCCATGATAGGAAGAGCTGGGATTTCAAATCTGGGTGATATTCCTCCAAAGCCTATAACTCTCGAGCAAAGGATATTAGGCTCCACACAGAAAAGAATATATGAAACAATGATAAATCCAAATTTACTAAGTTAATTTACTCACATCTTCTATTACTACTTCCCTAATTTAATGGCATTCTGATACCCTGAGCAAAATACTTTCATCTTGGTCCTAAATTTTTTCATGGGCAAAATGAAAAAACTATATAGACAGAGACACTGAGGAACAAAGTGTCACTTATCTGAGGCTACCAGGAAGGTAGAACTAGGGGAAGATCACATAATAGTCCCAATTAGCTAGTCTTTTTTTTTCAAAAAAACCCCCAAAAAACTATGTATACAAGGTCATCCACCCTTCTTCCTCTACAAGGTAAAGTATCTGAGTAAAAATTTGTTTCTTTGTGCCTTCAGACAATTGGATTTTGTATTATTTTGCCAAATCAAAATCTTACATTACAAAGTAGCTTTCAGTTTTACAGATGCCTATGGCTTGGTAACATTTTTAAACAGCAGGTAAAGAAAAACAGCCATAAACCCATGTGGTCTCTTTAAGAACCAGGTTGGAAATGTACAACCTAAGCAACTATGCATTTAGAGGATTCAAATAATTTGGGAATTAGATAAAATAAACTGTTCTATTCTTTACAATAAAAATGAAGAATGAATGAGGAGCTATACAGCTTGTGGGTAGGTCAAAAAAATTTGAGGGATTTTGGGTTTCTTGCCTCAGGTAGAGAGCAATGTTGTAACATAGTGGTGGTATTCAGAATGGTGAAGCTATAATCAGTAACACCATAAAAGTACCAACAGGGAGAGATTTGACTATCTCATCTTTCTGATTCATAATAATCTCCTGCATGCAGCATTAACTTCTCAGATCACAAACAGCAGGTTCAGTTAGAAAAACCCAGCTGAATAAAGGTAAAGGCCCAAAGAACAAAATTTTTGTTAACTGATTAGAAAAGACTTTATGCCAGGGAAGCTTTAATTATCCACTCAAATAAGTTCCCTGGGAAGATAACCTGCACAGCATTTCCCAATTCTCCTGCATTTTCTATGTTCTCTACTTAACTTGGACTATGACAGCAAAACAGCAGAATTTCCAGATGCTTATACCAGCATGGTGGAGTGAGTCTAATCAGAAACCAGTACCAACAACAAAGAACTATAAATTTTCAAGCTGAGCTGGACACTTCCTTAGTTTAACCAGGAAACAGAGGGGAGAAGTTGCATTAAGAATGAAAAAACTTAGAATGTTTCCACTCTGACTTAAAACTCTTCATTTTGTCTGAGGCAGTCAGTAGGGTTACTCTGAAGGGGAGGCAGGCTTCATCCTGAATACCCTGCCTCACTGGACTGGTGGGTGGTTCCCTGGGGTTCCAGCACATCCATAATTTATTATCAAATGTCCAAGCGAACAAATTAAAGCACAGTGATTTCGTACTCCTCCCTTTCTCCCCCACAAGGAGGCAACCTTTATATCAGAACAATGTGCCCAGAAGAAGAATCTAAAGACACAGGCATATGCAAGGCAAAAGCTATTCAAATGTTCCGGGTAGACAATCTGTATTTGCTCTTCCTTTCTCCACACCTTTACCTCCCCTCCCCCAATTTAAAGTTGTACAAAATGAGGTCCCAGGATGGGTTTAGGTGGTCTTCCCTTTCTCCGTGGGTAAGCTCTAAAAAGAGGCCGGAGCTTCAAGTGTTTGCTTTTCTTAAGGTTTACATATAAATTATGAAAAGCAACGCTGGCCTTGGAGCTATGGAAAACAGAACAGTGAGTCACCCACCATAGGCCAGAAGGTCCTGATCTGCTAAATGGACATGGACCAGGTAAAAAGCACCTAAGAAAACCTGTCCACTGGCAGGTTTAACTAGCTGGTTGACCACGGGCAAATCACCAACCTCACTGGGCCCCATCTCTAAAATGAGGTGCTAGACTGGAGAGCCCTTTAAGAAATAATCCCTTCTGAGTCGTGACAGTCCATGCATTTTTTAAATATACTAGAGGAGAAAACGGAGAAGTTTCTAAAGAGTTGAAATTTTTCAACAAAAAGGGGAGGAAAAGCTCCCGGTCAAAAAACAACAGAGAAATAGGGTTGGGCCCGCGTTAAAGGCCTCACAGACAAGAGGGGAGGATCAGAGGTGCAACTTCGGGGATGGAGGGAAAGGCACCGCAACAGCTGAGACTGGAGGCAGAAGAGTTGCTGCAAATGGTGCTGACAGCGGCGAACCATCCGCCAAAGGGAGCTGGGGTGCAAGTAGGCCTTCTCCAGGAGGGGGACAGGGGAAAGGCGGTGCGTCCCGCCAATGTATTCCTCCACGGGTAAAGGCGGGGTGGAGGAGGCAGTCAGGGGCAGAATGTCCACAGGTTTGAGGGTGGGGTGCTGGGGAAAGGCTCTAGGGGGCCGACGAGCTGCCTAAAGGTCCAGAGCCAGAGCTGGCGGCTGGGAAATCAACGCTGGACCCGCGCAAAAGGCGGGCGCGCGCGCGCGGCCCCCCAAGGGGTCGGCCGGGAGGAAGGGCCCCCGAGGGTGGGGGAGGGGAGGTCGCGGGCCTCTCACAATAATCAATCGCAGCCTCTTCCAACCCCAACCTCTAAGCCACAGGCTCCCCGCGACCCTGGATGCACTCACTCAGACAGAGGGTCCTGCGGGCCCCAAGCAGCTGCGGCGTCGGCGGGTGGCGCGTCTGTCGCTCGCTCAGTCCCGGCGGCCCGGCTCCGGCGCGTCCCTCCTCTGGCCCCAGCAGCAACACCCCCACTTCCGGTTCCCCTGCCACTCAGGCAAATGGCTTCCGGAAGTCCCGCCCCACCCTGCTTGGCCTCAGCTTGGCTCCCCACTGCTCACTTTCCCTCTCAGCCGGCGCTCGCTGCGCGGCGCCCAGGTGGCCTGCCACGCCCCACACGGTTCCCCGCTTTGTTCTCTGCCCTGCAGTCCTTTTGCATGTAGGCTGCGTGAGTTGGGCCTCTATCTTTCCTCCAGTTGCATCCCTCAATCCTGCGTTAACGTCACCGCGGTGTAGATACGGCATTCCGGACAATGTGGCGTGACCTCATACTGACGCCATTCCCTTTCCATCCAGCCAACCTGGCTTCCTTCTCCACCCCATGGAATAATCCAGATTGCTGCAAGTGGAGGGAAGTAGGGCCCCAACGTTAATGAGGTAGTCCTCTACATTTATAAGTGGAATTTCTGTTTCTGTGATAAATGTATGGATTTGGGGGGATTGCCTCTTAAGGTGACACCAAAGGGAGATAGGTAATCACAGTCTTTTCCTTAATGCATCCAGTTTAGGGGAAGACACATATACAAAATCAATAATGAAAAGAATATATGATTAAACGCAATTTAAATGTGGTGTCTGTAAAAGCAGTGAGGAGGGGCGAAAGGTGTATGCAGGCTATAATGAACATTTGTGGAGCAGTGCTATGAGGTGGCCTTTTAAGAATGGATAGGATTCATTCAGACCTATGCCAGGAATCCAGCAGAGCCTTCCAGCACTCTGAAAATGATCAGGGTTTTGATTTTGCTGTCAAAACTTAAGAATACTATAAAAATCTGGGAACCTAAAGTTTCAAGATATATCAAATTATTTTTCAGATCACCTGTGCTGTCAAGTGTGCTAAATTTATCAGGCATATACAATCCAAAATAATGTTCATATAAAATGATTTTTACAGTGCTAGTTTACGTTGGAATTCTCTTGTAGAAGTTCACACAATATGTGTCACCACCAGTAGGTGCTCAGGAAATGTTTCTTGTTGTGTTTTATTAAAAAGAATTCATGTTTGGGGACCACAAATGATGGTACAAAGAGGTAGCCAGAAATGTATTGATAACAGAAGAGAAATGGCTTGAATTATTCTGCAGTGGTAAATCTATAGAAATCTGGCATTTCCCCACTTTTTATATTTAACACATTTTAGTTACTTCTTTAACATACTGTCTTCCCTGCGATACTGTAAGATCTGAGCTAGCAGGGACCTGTCCTGTGGATTCCTAGCACCTGGCATGGTGCCCGATCCAGAGCAGACACTTATTAAATACTGCTGAATGAGAAATGAAATGATCAAGGGTTGAATGTGTGCATGTGTGGAACCCATGGCCTGTCTTTACACTTTCTTGTTTTTAGTTGGGAAACTTCGTAATTGAGAAATAAAGAAGGGAAGTGTGCCCCTAAGAAATACTACAACTAGTTAAACTATCCTCTGCAAATACTAAATGCCTTTATGATTTGGGCAGTTTTTAGTGTTTTGGCAAAATCTCAATATCACTTCACTGATGTTTATTAAGAACTTGTCTCTTGCATTTTTTTCTGTTTTAGCTTTCTAAACAATTATTTTCAAAAATATGTCAGTGGTATAGTGGAAAGGATTCTAATACTAGGGTGCCCTGGGTTTGTTTTTTTGGTTTTTGTTTGTTTGTTTTAAGATTTTATTGGGGAATCGGGGAAGGGGAACAGACAAGTTGTTGTCCTTTTGTTTTTAAGTCTAGTTGTGGAGGACGTCGTTTCACTGGCCCATGTTGGTATTATCATTGTGCTCTTCCCAACTGAGACAGTCACTCGCCGGCCATTGGACGCCGCTCACATTGGCTCACAGCAACTCACGCTGGATGCTGGCCTCTCACGCTGGCTGTCATGGTAGCTTATGGCAGCCCACTGCAGCAGAGGCTGCAGCCTATGCTGTCACCTGGACTCACGGCAGCCCAGCTCCAGGTCGAGCTGTTGTTCACCATCTTAGCTGTAGAGGGCACAGCGTCACTGGCCCACATGTGGCATCCCCACCGGGGCCCTGCTGCTCAGAGCTGGCGTCCCAAGCAAACTCTTAACCAACGTGCCACTTGGCAGGTCCGCCCTGGGTTCTTGTCTGAGGGACACAGCTCATTTAACTTCTTCCAGCCTTTTTGTTTCTTAGTCTGCAAGATAAGAAAGGATGGACTAGATCATTGCTAAGGACTTTTCTAGCTCTAACTTTCCAGTTACATGCAGGAATATCATACTGGTGGCACACACGCACTATCTCTCTTCTCCTCATTTCCCACATACAACTTTCCTACCCCCATCCCCCAGGGCACCATTCAAAGTTTGTATTTTCCATACAGTCCTGGTTGGTGATAGGTAAAAAGAACTGTTTTCTGACTACGGGACAAATCGACTGAAAATTACCAGGAGAGCTTGCCTTTCAAGTTTTCTCTTCTATCAATGATGATAGATTTTATGAACCCATCCAGATTCTTTAGTATGATTTCCCTCCGGACTAAATGACAACCTAAAGGAAGAAAATATATAAGCCCTGATGAAATGCCTGTGGACTGATTGGAGTCCTTAAATGAGCTAGAGTAAATGTGATCAAATGTAAACCTAGGAGTTTGAGAATGGTACAAGTGTCAAAATACTACCCAAGAGGTCTGGAATTCAGGAGACTACTTGACATTTCATTACTTATAGTACTAAAACTGGGAAATTTCAGAGAACCTGGTATTTTAGACATGAAAAAAGGTATGTATGTGTGTTGGGGTAGGGGGTGGGGGAAGGCTATGTAGACTGAGAATGGACACGTGGTGTGAATTCAGGGAATTTCTTTGGGTAGAACACGAGGTAAGGTGGTTTACAGAAAAAGAGTTTCAAAGTTTTGTTTATTGCTAAAACAATATTAAGAAATGCTTAAATTGAAAAAAATTTTCACTTGCATCCTTACTAATTAACACATTTTCATTTGCCTCAATTCCTGTCATTCAATAGCTATATATTCAATAAATACTTTATTTCACAATTTTAATATCTTTGGGGTCAGGTTAAGATATTGTTAGATATATAGTAAAAATACATTTTTGTTTCCACAACTGACAATTGTTAATTTATCATATTCTTACTTTTTTGACTTGTGCGTGTTTTAGTATCATTACAAACTCATGGATTGAAGTATACTCTGTGTGTTTCATTCCATTGCAATTATTAAGCTTACTGATAACCAGATTGTTCCATCTTTGGTTAGTGGGACCCTATTCAAGTTGGTTTCTAAGTCATTTTGACATAACTGAACATTGATTTGCTTTCTGCCACTTTAGTTTGCCTTTTCTATAATTTCATATAAATGGAATCATACAGTAGGTACTCTTTTGTTTCCTGCTTCTTCTTTTTGACATCATATTTTTGAAATTCATCCATGTTGTTGTATCAGTACATTCCTTTTTATTGCTGAGTAGTATTCCATTGTACGAATATTCTACATATGTTTGTGGACTGGCTTTGTTTATCCAGTCAATGTTAATGGACCTTTGGGTTGTTTCTGGTTTTGCTTACTATGAATAAAGCTAAGGTGAAAGTTCAAGCCTTTGTGTGGACATGTGTTTTCATTTCTCTTGGGCAAATATCTAGGAATGAAGTTGTTCAGTTATAGGGAAATTGTATATTTAACATTATAATAAACTGCCCAACTGTTTTCCAAAGTGATTTATCATTTTACACCTCCACAAGCTGTGTGTGAAAGCTCCAGTTGTTCTGCATCCTCAATAATACATAGTACTGTCAGTCTTTTTTTTTT